GAAAAAATAGATTTTTCATATGTTTTACTATGTGATCGACAAAAATTACGTAGACTTTTGTCCAGTGAGTGTACGTAGACTATCTCTTACCAAAAACAAATTGCCGTAAGCTTGAGGACAAGAACGCCCCGCTTAAGAAGATTACAGTAAAGAACATAAAACCCAAAAAAAAAAAACTAGAAAAATCTTAATTTGTTCTTTTTTGACTAGAATATTTCCTAGTGTGTTTCTAATCCAAAAGGGTACGATAAATTAATAGAGATCTCAGAAAAGATTTAAAGTTTATAGTCCAACGTTTGCCAGCGTGGAGATGGCAGAAGCTGAATTAGCATTTCATGGGTATAAAGGTGTGTTTTTCTAAGCGACTAACAAAAAGTGAAAAAAAAAGAACATATTTACTGAGATCAATGTGACAGTGACACATTTTGACTGTTTGATAGCGACTCCTGAAGCTTGTCACACGTTTAAAAGCTAAATTAAAGTACACATTTACGTAACAACAATTTGTTGACAGACCGTGAAGACTTACTACGTTTTATCAGTTATCGATAGAATATTCTGAAGTTTTATTGCGACAAAACATTTACTCCCCGTGAAAGTGGATTCGCAGGCTAATGCTTTTTTGGAAACGCATCTCTGTATTGCACCCCATCGTAATAAATCTAAAAATATTTTTGTAGGTTTAGTGACAGACCATGCGGTCATGATAGTAGCATTGCTAAAGACTGACCTTTTATAAACTCAAAGTTACAGAAGATAATGAACGTAAAAAGTTCCTAACAAGACAGAAACCAAAAAATTAGTGATGCGAATAAAAAATTAGTTGATTTTGCAATAAGCATTTCAGGTTATGACCTACCTTCCCACTGTTGACCCATGGCTACTACGCACCCTGTTGCTCCTCTATTAACCCATAATGTCTGTTGCCTCCTTTTTAAATGTTTATGTGTAATCTAGCTGCTACGATTCAGTTCTGCCTCAACTAATGTCACCCAACTGCTTCTCTTACAATAGAATTGATACCTTTTTAACTATCCTTCCAATAAACATGACGTGTATTCATTGCTTGTTTACCTTTTGTTCATATTGTTGTGTCAGCTTTTGTAGCACTTTTATGCTTTCTTGCATCTAAACTGTAAAACGAGACAAAAAGATGCATACGTGTTTATATATTTGAAATGCCAGTATGAATTAGTCTCGTTGCCGTTGTCTACAAGTTGCGGATAAATTTTGCAACTCGTTACAAGCGCGTTACTATAAGAATACATTCATTGATATTAATCAACTTTTTGACAACACTAAAAACTTTTTATATTTCCAGATTTGCAACATGCGATTAGGCTTTCTCAGGCTGGCAAGTTACTTTTGTTTTGCAATGCATGCAGTGTATATTTTAAAGTTTTCTCGTATCGCGGTGCTTTATTACTAATGCATCGAGTATAAGTGCTTGTGTCACGCGTAATAATGCGCAATTTATTGATTAACCATATTAAGTATTAACGTTATTGTTAATATCCTTCTATTGGTCAATTCTTGAGATGTGACACAGTAAGTTTAACTTTGTTTCTTTCTTCAACGTTTAATAGTTTTCCGCCATGGGTGATCTTACAGAAAGGCCTTCGCTTTCTGAGCCTTTTTCAGCCAGCCGATCCTTAATAATAGACGAACCCGAAGTCAAACGCTACCACCATCACCGTTATGGACACGCTCCCTACAGACCACGTCCATTTGAATCGAAGATCCCCATGCATCTTCGCACTCAACCACCCGAAAGAACACTTTTTAACTACTGGCGATTGTTAGACATTTTGTTTGTTTTTACCTTTATCGGGATTTGGTGGTACATAGATAGAAGGAAGGGAATAGAAATGAGTGAAAATGGAAATGGTATGTGCATGGTGAGAGAGTACAATAGGGTTGAAGAACAAGAAGAACGAGTACGACTTGGTAGTGGTACTGGTGCGTTTGAAGGAGGAAAGAACCATGAAAGGAGGAGTAAAGTTGAGAGGATTGGTGATGACTTGATCAGAATACTTAGTAGTGTAATTGGTGCGTTGATATTTGATGGTGACTAGGGATTTTTTTTGGTTTTGTTGGAGCAGGTGGGGGTCTTGCTTGTTTGTTGAAACGTTGTTGAGAAAACGTGAATTGGGAAAGAGTGAGAGTGTGTGAGAGTGTGAGAGTGTGAGGGAAGGAAAAGGAGAGAGGGAGAGGGAAAGGAAGGGAGAGGGAGAGGGAAGGGAGAGGGAGAGATAGAGATAGAGATAGAGAGTGATGTATATAGATTGTGGAATAGAGAGCGTGGGAAACTTGTGCGGAGGGGAGAGGTATTATTTAAGAAATGTGCTGATCGATGAATTCTGTTGCTTGACAATATGTAATGATCAGAACATCGACTGATATCGGTTGCGGATCTTAAAGAAGACGTTGTCGCGAATGTGAGAGACTTTGTTGACAGCATAACGAGTTTCTTTATATGTATGTATTCTATGGTTCGTGCTTTTGGCAATTTTCATTATCTTATCAAGGAACGATAGATCTCATTATCATTTCAAATATTTCAATAACTCCTAATTTCCTCTCTCTCTCTTTTTTTTTTTTTTTGGCCCAATCCCCCGAATTTATAAGCCGCTTTCCTGGTTTTCTCATTCGTTGTGATTTCCTTGTTAGTGGCGTACAGTGCCCTCAAATGGTACAATTATCGAAAAAAACAACGCGATCAAGACGACGAGTATGTTAGACAACTAGTCGACTTTCTTCAAGCCGAAGTTAGCGGCAAAACCAAATACCGGGTTCACGAAGCGTGGTTAGACTTTGATTTGAAAAACAAGCAGTTAGCACTGAATGTGAGGCGAAGAATCTGGAACAGAGCGGTCCAGTTTATGGAAAATGAAGTTTGGTGGTTGAGAAAGTTTAAAACGGGAAAGACGACGATTTGGGGAGATCATCGGGCTGGGCAACCGTCGTGATGGCCGGAGTAATTTGGATATTTAATTGGGGAGGGGGGCTGTCATGCCAACTGATTCTAGACTTTGGAGTTGATGTAAAAGGAGGTGAGCAGAATAATAGTCTGCTAGTTATTAAATTCTTTGCATTGATTATGATTATATAGATTTCTGTAGCATAATGTCTGTAGATAGTTTTTCCAATCCCTAGTTTTTCTCATTAATAATACACACATCATTTGCACCATAATTTCCACTAATCTTTTCCAAGACCAGTGAATTGTGAGCGATGTTGGCTTGCTTGCTTTGCAATCAACTCATAATCATTGTTCGAAACGTTCTCATCACCTTACAACAAATTTCATGTTTCACTCTACCTGTGCAGCGGTATGTTTTCATTTGTCGACATGAATATCATTAATAATTCTGGAGAAAGTATGTCCAGAATTTCTTTCTCTCGAAAAAAAAACTACATCTAAATTATATAAATCAGACAAAATAAAGTAACCAAAATAACTAATAATAATCGGCGTTAGCATAAACAGAGAACGTATCCTCTATTAATGTGATATGAATATAATGTGATATATAGACTCTAAGTAAGGATATTGCAACTTTAAATCAAATCAAACGTGCTATATATTGTAGCTCTAATTTTATGAGTGCGCGTGAAATTAAATGACTCCACCCTGTGACGATGGCTGAGCAGGCTGCGGTTGCTCTTGTCTGGCGCTGGACTCTTTCAACGCCAAGAGTTGTTTAGAACGGAAAGCCTCATAATGGATCTGAGCAGTGGTTTCGATAAGGTCTTGGAGATGAGTTCTAATGTACAGAGTTGATGAGTTATTAGCAAATATGATCAAAACGTAAATAAGCTCATTCCCAACGAATATTACATCCATGACTTATTCTTACCTAGTGAGGAAGTTCCTCAGATGTACGAATTCACAATGATTCTCATTCTCCACTAGAAAATTGCAAGCGATGCATTCAGTCTCGCTTCCCTTCCTTCACGTAACCTTCTCCTCTATCTCTCTCTTTTCCTGTTCTTCTCTTACTTACCTACGATCACACCCCACTTGTTCCGCCGTCCGCGAACAGCCTTTCCATCAATCACAACGTTCTTTTCGGAACCAACAATGGCGAATGGAATAAGTTCTTTCATGCTCTGATTCAAATCAAGTTCACCTTGATCAAGTTCATCACTATCATACGGATAGAGTTTGATATTGTTGTGTGCTAGTTCTGCCTTTATCTAGTTTAAACAAAAATTGGAGAGCAAAAATAAAGTTGTCGGTTTTTAGTTGCAGGTTCAAAATCTCTTAATCACGTTGCTGATACTTGCACAAGTGCGGGGGGGAAACTTACTCTTTGCTTGAACGCAAGACGTTCTTCGATAGTCAGTGAATCAGATTTAGCAATGACAGGGACGACATTGACAACCTCTGAAAGTTTCTTGAGAACGAGAATGTCGAGCGGTTTAAGACTTTGATTTGGGAAAAAAAAAGGAAAAAATTGTTAGCCGTTTGATAATTGCATTAAACTGAATGTGCTTTGTTATATAAACTTTAAAAATACGTACGCATGGCCGGTAGGTGCAATGAAGAATAAACAGCAATGAATTCTAGTGTCTTGAATATAACGTTCACGCATGGCAGTCAATTCTTTGCGAAGATAAGCTGAATGTTGGTCTTTGATATATTTAATGATTGGTTCCCAACTATATTTGTAACGTAAAATAAGGACAGAAAAAAAGAATGGTTATTAGTATGCCTATCCAAAGTTAATCTTCACCATACATTCTATTATTTAATCATTCCTACATAAAACCCCCCTCTTCCTTTCCCCCTTTCAAAATATTCTTGTTGCTCACCAATTCTCGTTATTGACCTGGTCACCATATCCGGGAGTATCAACAATGTTGAGTCTTAAACGAATACCGTTCTCTTCAATTACTTTACAAATTATAAAAAAACGCAAATTAATCGCAATTAAATGAAGATTCTGTTTAAATTATTAAAGTAACATACAATGAGACACGGTTTGGATCTCAGTCGTCTGCCTAAAGGGCTCTTCGACAGATTGACGTCCTTTGCTGTCAATAAGGTGAGCAGCAAAGATAGTGTTGATGAGCGTTGATTTACCCAATCCAGTTTGACCTTAAGAAAAAAAAATACTGTTAGAATGTAGGAAAGACAGGGATTGACTACAACGGCTTTGGTGTGAGATGGATAACTATATTTTTATGGACTTGTAAATCCTGCGACACAGCCGACATTTATATGGTTAACGGTTTACATACCGACAACGATAACATTGAACTGAAATCCACGCTTCAACAGCTTCTTCTCAATTTGCGTGGTGATGGTATCAAAACCTACATAACCATTGAGTTGCACCTATAAACAAGAGACTTTGTAAGTAAACATGTTTTTTGTACGTGCACTTGGACAAGTTTTTTGCTGAACTGGTTTCTCCCTGTAATTGTACATCTCGACATGACTCTCATCAAGATGACATTGCTCATACCTTCTGTGGTTCAGCGGCAGTAGCCATGTTTATTTTCTAATATACAGTACTTTTACAGATGAAAGTGATTAATTTATCCAAAAGCGAGAACGTTGATTAGAATTAATACTACAAAACTAAAGGAAGGAAATAATAATTATCCAGAGGATGAATGAAGAGGAACGGGACCAAAAGTTGTATAATATGCTTTTAATTATACCTCTCATCCTTTTTTGGTCCAATAAATTATTTTGAAGTACAGCATTGAATGTGTGTATATTGACAATCTTTACACTGTCCAACCGTCAGTCTGAAATTATATTGTTCACGACATATTGAAAAGATGTGATTGGAGCGCTAAGAAGACGGGATTGGTTGATTCGTTAAATTTGTGATCCAGTTACTATTGGTTTAGCGTATTTCTTATTCTGGTAGAACATGAACGTGTGCATCGAGACTGGAAAATACTAAAAGTCAAAGTCAAAAGTTCAAGAGCCACACACGAGGATATATTATTTACAAGCATACATTCTTAGTATTAGCTTGTTTATAAAATACCTGTTAAGCTTGAAATTACATGGTTAAAAATAAATAAACTTATTATAAACAGTAATGTCATATGAGCATACGTATTAGTGCGATCATTTAACTATCGAAGCATAAAAGCGAGGGAAAAAGTTCTGCTCTTAATGATTGTAGAGTCAGATTTATCAATGGTCAATTACAGCGTCAGTTTACTAACGAGTTTTTTTCAATGTGGGATACAAGCAAACAATGTTGGACCTTTGCTTTATTCAATAGACATGTCTACATTCAATGTTAAAGACTGAATAAATAATGCTACTAAATATATTATCGTGTTTAATGAATATATTAACACCTATTTGATGTTGATACAACCCCGCTTCAATTTCTACAAGTGCGAATTCGATAATCGTTGTTGTCTTTTTAATTGGTGTATAATATCATTTTCTCTATTGTCTTTATGTTACTTTTAAATTAAAAATAGGTTATCTCGAAGAAGAATAAATTAATCATAACTTGTTGGCTAACTTGTCGACTAGACTATCTTAACGATTTGTTAACGATGATTGCTCTAATTAACTTCAAATAGAGTTTATTTATAATATGGCTTTACACAACAAGGAAAGTTGATAAAAAGCGAGATAAGAAAACTATCGTTTACGATATTTACGATAACTTTAACTATAAACGGATCAACTGGACATGTAAAAACTTATTCTATACCCTAATTAGCTTTACTTGGTGGAAATAAAAGGCTCGTCGACTTTTATACGCGTATGCTATTAAGCTTTTCAAATTTACCTATCATGTTGTTCTAAATCGATTGTTACACAGTATTATAAGATGATCAGTAAAACTTGTTACCAATGCATCATTTTAATATTCGAGAAAAAGGAACATTTTGACACAAATGGTGACTGTGAGATTCGAACTCACGCCTCTTTCGAGACCGCAACTTGAGTGCGGCGCCTTAGACCAACTCGGCCAAATCACCGTTATTGGAATTTTGCTCGATATTGACTTTAATAAAGCTTATATCGATGGGGGGTGCACCAACACAAGCGCTTTCAGTCAGGATTACGAAGTGGAAGAAAAATTCTTTGATTTTGTGTTTGGTAGGACCAGGAGCGTAGGAAAACGACTTTTACCCAAATAATTGCTCGAATTAAATATCACATTACAAAATGATAGCGTTCGCAAAAGGCGGTCTATGGAGGCAATCGTCTATAGGCCATCGTTTTTGGCCGGCTTTACTAATGTTCCTATAATACGCTAGTACTAAGAAAAATAAGAGTTATTTTAATTGCATTTTTAAAAATGCACGCTCTTGGGGACGAAAGGAAGCGTGAGTGTGTGCGATATTAGCGAACATTCAATTATCATTAGTTTATCATGGAAACATCGGTCATGGAAGTTCTTCCACTGACATACTTTCGGGAATATTCTACAAGCCTTTTGTTCTTCAAATATCATTCGATTAAGCATTAAAAGATGCTAACAAACGACAACTGCAAACCAAAATTTTCTTTATTTAGTTTTTGTATATGTAAATGTCTCGACGTTGTGTGTCATAAAGATAAGCATAAAGTCCACAGGCATGCATTTAGAAAGAAGGTTCATCTGTGACAGGGTTTTAATTCATTATAATAATATTATTCTCTGGGAACTTGAAAAAAGATTGTGCAGTGCGGAATGTAAATGTTGGAGTTTCACGTCTATACCTACAACGTGAACGCTAAAAATGTACCTGTGCCGACAAATACTGGGCCAATTGAGAGAAAAGAATAAGTGGTTTACTCTCCATTTCTTCTAAATTGCCCGGTATACGCCTCACCACAATTTCGCTCTATCTAAATCTTCATTCTGCTTTCAAAGTAATCCATGAACATCCTGCTAACATTGTTTTTGTTTTTGTGTGTGCATTATTATGTATGCGTAGCAAGCATACGTTTCTTCGCCCTTCTTATGTGTGCGTCATTAATTCACGTATTCCAGTATGAACACAATGTCTTGTCGCTTTCCGTAATATTTTTTACTTTGGCATTTCCATCCTGTTCATGAACAAGGAATATTTCTTAAGTGTCCGCTCAGGCGCGTAAGAATGATGTAATTCTCTCTGTATTGGTATATTATCTACGGCAACAATTGTTTCACTCTAAGTTGTAGTTTCAAATTATCACATTCCTCACTATCAGGTTTTCAGGAATACCATGACAAAAGTGCGGCGTTGATGTTTGCTGATAACAAGTGCGGTCGGTTTCAGAGAATTCAACAAGGCTTTTTTTAAAATTCGTATTAAACTGTATATTAGAATGTGCCAACATCTTTTTTACCGAGGGAATGATTTGTTATTTGATAGACATTAATCTAGCGCAACTTACAATTACCCATCCCCCTCTGATGATGCATTCTGCAAAAAGTTGTTTGCATAATTTAACAAAGCGCTAATTTTTCCCTCTCTCAGGCGCGCTCGATAACGAACCGTTCCTCTTACAGTCCATCTTAAGTTATCATCCACAGTATCATGATAGTCTAAGACTACACACTCCTTCGAAAGTGTCATCAAACTAACACAAGAGAAAGAGCTTGAGTTAGGTATTCTTGAAGCTTTTGGTACTTTCTGTGTGATTGTTATAACTGCTTGATGGGATATTTTTCTCTGTGATCTAAAGCTTTTGTATATGTGCCTGACAACGAACAATTTAATGGCACGAAGAACGCCAGAAATAAACCAACACATGGCAAACGCGTCTGACAGATTTGTTATTGGAGATGTGTCATTGCATAACAATGCATTTATAGCACGGGTCTGGTTGCAGAAATAATTGTCGGGGAAGTGATTGTCGAAAAAATGAATGAAATGATGACGTGACGATTTTGGGGCTCACTTATATCTCAGAAATTAAAATAGATTAACGTCATCTCATCCGCTCCATTGAACACTACATCCAAAGTAATTATCCGGGCATGTTCTACGAGTTCTCGCTGGCAATAATCCTTCCTTACAATAAATCATATGTGCCATATTCTATCGATAATTAATATTATCAAGTACCGTGGGAAAGCCAGTCTGGTTTTGGAAGAATGTAAACAATGCTTGTTATTTGCTTTTCCATATCAGCAATCCCCACAATAGTTCCTGATATAAGGGTAAACGATCTGCACATGTTGAATAAAAGGTATTATTCCTTATTCTCTCAAAGTGTGAGATGATCATGTTCCATTAACTGTCATCATACCGATCTCTAGTTACGGGGTCAAAAAGATCTGTTTCTACTGCCAGAATTCACATGTTCAACCAGATTATTGTCTAAGATTGTGTGAAAGGTGGCACGTCGCAATAAACGTGCCCGAATGAATTTTATTCATACATTATCATACAATATCCATAAATCTTCACAGTGAACTTTCGCAATATATTACTAACTTTTTATCTACAAAAGCGTGACTGCTCGAGAACAATCTCGCCAGACTTATTAGAAAATATTGTGTGCGATTTTAACAGATAAAAGAATCAACCGTTCGTTGTTCGTTCTCTCTCTCTCTCTCATTCTCTCTCTCATTCCCTCTCTCTCCCTCAATCAGAGCCCAATGATTACTCTGTTTCACCTCATGAAGTCTTTTCCACAACTAACAGAACAATCATACATCCAGCCAAAATAATCAATGTCAGGCCAGTTCCAATTGCAACCCCTCCCCTACTTGCCGGAAATTCACCTAGCGTCATTGTATGTTGCGAATGGAAATATCTTATAACGCCGAGAAGGAGGAATACGACTCCGAGAACAGTAAACGCTATCCCAATAACTTTACCAATAACCTCCTTGCCTGAATGGTCATGTTTTGAAGGATTTAGGCGGAAGAGTTGTGTGACGGCTAGTTGGAAAAGCGTAGAGGCATTAGATGCGACGTTTTTAAATAAAAAAGGGGGTAAATAGACGAGGGTCAGAAACGGGATACTCACCAATACCAATACTCACAAAAGAAAGAGATGTACGTAGCCATGCTAGAAATGTTCTTTCGTTGGCTGCATAAAAAACATTAGATTCACAGAGCATTCATCGTGTTAACCATGTTAATATATATGTGTCATTGATACTAATCACCCGCTGACATACCCAAATGATCTCTCGCCACGCTTGCTTTATTCTCCAAACACAAGGTCGGCTTCCAGTTCAAAAGCGCGTTGACGTTTCCTTTAGTCATGTTCGCAGAAGACTCTTCTTCCGTATTGTTTACAATGCTAATAGTTTCTTGTCTAGAACTAGAAGTTCGTCTGCAAAGCGTTGAAGATGTTGAGGCAGTGACTGTTTGAGACATCTTTGCAACCAAGCTGAAAGGTTACAAAGATAACGATAATAATAAGTAGAAAAATCTTTGTGGTTAATGATGTCATATCCACTTGTGTGACGCGAAATCCCGTTATTAGTCCGCAAGTACTAACTAAACTACTAACACGTTCAGGCCCGGCCTATCATGGAACAATTAAGGTGCTTTAAAAGATTTAAAATTCGCTAGCGCTAGGCATGCAGTATCTACTACAGCAGCTCACGTGGGTTATATTGCGTAACAAACAATCATCATGACACAATAATAACATGTTGCTATCGTCTATCGAAAGGTGCATTCGTAAAGATAGTCGCCGACTCTTTCCAATGTTGTCGCAATTGTACATTGCAGTCTTACTGCGCGTTTTTTCAGTATTTGGCAGTTGTCCATTTTAGAAAAATACTTTGACGCATGGGCTAATCGTTCTTGTGTCCATTTGTCCCCAACTTCTATCGCTACTGTCTGAATTAGACATCTAATCTAAATTGGAAACAGGAATGAAAATGAGATGTCCATATTTAACCTTTACTGATACGGAACAAAGATAATACCATCGTTTGTGCCAACGATTAGCGTATCGTGTGATGTGATACGCCCCCAAGATACATGGATAAGAAATGGCTAGATAAAATTTGTGAAGACAGAATAGTCAAGTGCTTTTCAGACGGTGACATCTTAAGCCGTAAGATTATCGGTTAGAGTTGTGTACAAGGCACAGTTGCAATGAAGATGTTCTCTTTGTTGCACATAAGAATTGTACAAGAAGTTTTTCAGGAAGGTTCGTGTTTATGGTTATTACCGTTAGTATTCGTAAATTCTTATCTAAACTGATTTTATGTACAGTGCTGTGCAAAAGTAATGAGAATTACTAATTAGCTGACAGCTCAACAACTAACAGCTGGATTTATTTGAAA